CTTTTGGATTAATTGTTGTGACCTGGATCTTCCAGTTTCAGGAGCTGGTCCAGACTGACCTCTGCTTTCTACCATCACATGAATTTCAGTATATTTTGCATGAGTAGTACGGTAATAGAATGTTATTTCTTTTTGCAATTCAGGAACACATTTTAGTGAACATTTTGTTCTCCGTACATACAAAGGTGTGCACTTACATACATCCAAATGATATGGATGGACTATGAGTTACCCATTGCTCACATATTTGCTATGATCTGGCAGAATGTCAAACAGGATTAATGACCACATTGGAGTTTTGTTTGTTTATTATATGCTTTTTCTGAGTATGCCACCTATATGATAGTCACAGATATTACTGACTTTTAATATTGTGAAATACCAAAATATATTTTCAATTACCATTTATAACCAAACATATTATGTTTATTTTATACAAACACAGGAGCATATATGTTTCACTGAAATCTGTATGAGAAATACAATAAGTGCATGTGTATTGGAAGTGTTCACAAAAGCTATCATGATTGGTGTTCTATAAATACTTATAAGAGACAAATTTAGATTAGGTATCTGTCGTGCCACCTGAATGTTTGTACAGAGTGGAATATCCTACATAAAAATTCATCAGGAAACTGTTTGCATTAGGTTTCAGACAAAATACAGTGCAATGGTAATTGTACAAATGCACCACAGCTGACCTTACATGAAAACCATGCTCATAATTTCTTGGCTTCATTCCAAAAATCAACCCAACTCATTTCACACAAAGTAAATTAATCTCATGACAATCTACTGTAGATCTGTGTGTTCTAAAATAGGAATTGAAAAATAAACAACAATCTCAATACTGCTTCTATAAAATGAAGTGTTTCTCTGCTTCTGCTGTTGGGAGTATAGAGAATTTAAAAGGCAGCCGATAGTATTTATTGTTCCCTAAGGAAGTAGCACACTCCATATCACATTGCTTAATGTGTCACAAAATGTGACATCAATATACACTCTGCTTTAGCTATTAAATAAAAATCTCTCTAAAGAGAAAGTTAAACATAAAAATCCCCAAAGTATCAGGCAAGCCTTCAAAAGTCACATGCACAAGAAGCACACTTTTTATTCTCTCTACCTCTAGTTATAAAAAGCAGCAATGAGGGACATGTTTAAATGTAACTCCATCTTCGACTGATTCTGTTACTTACCCTTCATCTGTCTGCTGTCTGTTGAACAAGCCAGGCACAGCTCAGATTTCTGGCTTTCATTTTCCTCCATTGTCCCTGCCTACTTCACAAGCTTTCCTTGAAAACTTTTAAACTGCAGGTTTAAAAACTACCAGAAGCAGCCTCCAGGAGAAAAGAAAGAAAACTAGCCTTCTTTACAGTACAAAGTTCCTTTCAAAAATGAAGTGCATTCCAGAAGTACAAGTATCCGTTATGGAATGGTGGGCAGTACTTTCAGAGGCTGCTGCTTTTGCTGCTGTTGCTGCTGGAATAGTCCCTGAGCACTTCTCAGTGAGGGCCCCAACAGGTGATGGTCTTTTCTGCGGGAAAGACTCTAGCCGGCTTCTTTTCCACTGCTCCCAACTACAGATATACTGCAGCCAAGTAGCATTATGAAAGGGAACATTTCAAACAAGATTATAGGCCTGAATCTCAGCTGGAATCTGAATCCTTAGCTTTCTAAATCTCTGTCATGGGACAAAGCCATTCCACAAAATATTTTTTAAACACATAACCACTGAGCCCACAAACATCCTGATAAATGCTCCTGTGTCTTTTTTTAATGTGCAGTTTAAAAGTAATTCATTATGTAAAAACTGAGGGATTTTTTCGGTTGAATACTTTCAAGCTGCTCAGAAACCAAGCAGAATGTAATTAAGATATATAAATCCTACGTTAGTGAAACCAATAGAACTAAGTGTAAACCATAGCAAGCAATACATAAGATGGAAATTTGGCTTAGATGGAATTTGATGAGGAAAGTCAAAGATATACAAATAAATATAAAGAGATTATTTTCTTTAGTTCAGACATTAGAAGCCTGCATAAGATACAGTAGACCCACAGGATCATTAGGCAGTAAAGGAAATTATTGAGGAAGATAAAGATGTTGCATCAGTCTCCACCACAGTTAATTTTTGGGAGTATACCAAACCTGAACCTACTCTTTTAAGGTAATAAAATGGCGGTGTTGTCAGAGATTCAGATGTGAAAAAACAAGGTGCTGGAACAAACTGATAAATTAGGGAACAAGCAGCCAACAGGATCAGATGGGAAATCTGTCCAAGAGTTCTGAAGGAATTTAAGAATAAATGGGGTCGGCTGAGGTGCTAATGAAATCATGCAATCTCTCAATAAACTCAGATACTGTCCTGGAACACCAGAGGCAAGTTAATATTGTAGATATCTAGTACACCCCATCTCAGAAAGTATACAGAAGAAATTGAGGGGGTTCTGAAATGGGTGATGAAAATTATTAGAGATATGGAAAAACTTCTCTATGAAAATAGATTGAAAAGACTGGGCCTATTCAGTTTAGAGAGGAGACAAATAAAAGGATGGGATAAAGATATGCAAAAGAATTAATAGAACACAGAAGGTAAATCAGGTGATCCAGTCTACTGTCTCTTGAGGAGGTATAAAGGCAAAACCTATAAAATAAATGGGAAAACTCCCATTGACTTCAAAGGGCTTTAAGTCGATGAAACTGAAAGACAAAAAATTTAATACTAAAAAAAGGAATGCTTAAATATATATATATATAAAATAAATAAAAACCCTGGGGAACTCATTGCCACAATACATCACTGAAACCAAGAGTTTCGCAGGATTCAGAAAAGGATTGAACACTGATATGGATAGGGTGACCAGACGTCCTGTTTTTAAAGGGACAGTCCCGTATTTAAGCCCTCCTGCAGGTGTCCTGACTTTTTCTTAAAAATGGGCAAATTGTCCCATGTTTTCTGGCTCCCTCTCCCCCCAATCCCCATCAGTACTGGCGGGTCCTGCTGCTGGCTGGATCCCTGCTTGCCAGCCACCCACCCACCAGCGGTGAGTGGAGGGGTCCAGTGGTCGACGATGGAGGTGGGTGTGCAAAGCTGGTGGCGGGGCAAAGATGCAGCATGTGGGGCTGACCACTCCCCCTGGTGATCCATCAGCACAGCCCCACTGCATGCCAGCTCTCAGCCGGCAGGGTCCCGCCCCCCCGTCCCATTTCCGGCTGGCACTGACTGCGCGCTGTGAGCTGCAGTGGCTGGTGTGGGCGGGCGGGCGTGTCGCCTCTGCTGCCCACCCATCAGCCCTTTATATGCTCCCCCTCTCACTGTCCTCTCCCTGATTTGCCCCTTCAGCCCCCAGAGCCCCGCTGCTCCTCCATATCCCCCCTGGTGGGACGTGTCCCACTCCCAGCGCTGTGCGGAGAACCAGCCCCTGGGCAGAGCACTCAGCTCACCAACAGCCTGGCTGGCAGACTCCTTCCTTCCCCTACTGCCTCTGGCTGGGCCAGCACCCTGGGAAAGCCCAATACCCTCTGGCCTGGGGTGCTGGCCAGGAGAAGCCAAGCACTACAAGTGCCAAAGCCCCACACAGCACTGGCACGGGGAAGCTTCTCCGCTCCTCAACTAAGCTCTGGATTGGAATGGGGGAAGCGATTTCCAGCCTGTTCATGCCCCAAAGCTGCAGGCTTCACAGCAGCCCCTGCAGCAGGGGATTAGCAACCCTCTTCATTCCTCCTCCCCGTGGGTCCTGCCCCCAGGGAGTGCGGGGCTGCTCAGTCCCCCAGGCACACTCCCCTGCTGAGCCGCCTCTCTGGCTGTGTTTGCTGAAGCCCCTGCAGTCAGGTCCCCTGGGCCCTGGTTCACAATGCATCCTTAGGGCTTAACCCCTTCCTGCCTGCACTGTAGCAAGAGGTGGCTGGTTGTGTCAGTGGCCATCAGCTGCCTGGAGGTGTTAGCTGCCTTTCAACACTGTGCGGCAGGAAGGTACAAGCTGCTTCCGGCCACACTGGAGTTGTGGGGAGAAGAGATGAGTGCTGCAAAGACATGGGCCATGTCATCCCTTCTCCCCCTCCTCTTTCCCTATGGCAGGAAGCAGATCTCGGCCCTTCCCTCCCACACAGTGCTGAAAGGCTGCTGCTGGCCACATTCTGGTGTGAATTGTGGCAGAAATCTGGGGGGGGGGATGTGACCCTGCATGCCCTCCCCCACCAAGTGTTGCCTCAGGAAGACGCAGTGCCAGGTACCAGGAGAAGCGGGTCCATCCCAGGGGCCCAGCCAGGCCTGGAGGGCGTAGCGCGCCAGGCAGGGATGGTCGGTCACCCTCCGTGTGAGAAAGGTGTACATGAGTGTGTGTATGTCACCTCTCCCTGTGTGAACCCTAAAGCCTTAAAGATAAGAAGGTAAATAAAAAGAATCAAACTATGCAGTATTTCTTTTTAACAGGGGCTCAGTCAACTTGATGTTAATTTGAACATTTGTACTGCAAAGTTCTGATTGATTGCCATTAAACTCGCTTGAATAGGAGTAATTTTACCAGGTGTCCCATATTCAGCATAGGGAAATATGGTCACTCTAGATATGGATAACTAGAAAACCAACCCACTGTTACATTAGATGGGCAAGTTCTTCCTTAATTGCCCACTTCAGGATCTGTTGCACCTTCTGCTAGGCAGCTACTACTAGTCCCTGTCAGAGAAGACAGAACAGTAGAATAGATGGATCACTGCTCTGATTCAGATTAAAAATGTTTATATTTCTACTGTGTGAATAGTGTAAATGTCAGTCATGTATGGAAAACCAATTGCCCCATTCCAACTGAAAAACCGAGACTCCTACTCCCAAACCCAACAGATCTAGGTCACCTGGCCAAATTACAGGATGATCTACACTGGCCCTGTGCCCCTCTGCATCCCCTCCTATCATCCACTGGGAGATGAATTTTTAAAGTATCTCTCACAGGACACAGCTTCCTCTGGAACACCCTCTTAAAGGTGATTTCTCACTGTGTGTAGATTTCCCAGACGGGACACATAGACCCAACTAGAGAACCTTCTGCAAAGTCTGAGGAAGGTGATGTGAAGGAGACTGACACCTCTACACCCCTCACACCAGAAGAGATTTGCTCCTGGAGGTTCTCTTCTGTATGTGTATCTGGGTGAAATGGTTGAGCTCTTAATTTGGACTTTTGTACACCGAAAATTTTTAAATTTTTGAAAATTCAATACAGAAATTAAAAGAACACAACTTCTCCACTCCCCGTATCCAATGGTCCCAATCATAGTAAGAGAAACTCCAAATCCTTTGAGTTCATTACTATTCACAATTGAAAAATAATCAAAACCACTGTTCTTTATATGCTCTGGATTAGATCAGATACACATATTCTCTTATTAAAACTACCTACAAATATTTATTTTGTTCCTTACCAATAACTTTTACTCAGTCTTGGAAACTGGCAACATTCCCAGAAACTCAAAGTAGCATACAAAATGCCCATATAGAAAAGATAGGGAAAGCAATCTAAATATTTGTGCTGCTATTTAAGATTTCAAACCTAGTATACTAATTGCTCTGAATAAAATTATTCTATAGCAGCCCAGCAATTTAAAGAAAACATTTAGTGGGATGTATATCTACTGTAGTATTTTTATTAACTCCAAGTTATACTCTGCCTACTCTGATTTTTGCATAAATTAAGCCCAAAAGTTATGGCTGTCCCGAGTAACTCAAGTTGACCTATGTTTTTAAATCACATCTTGAGTATACATCTCCTGTACACAAGGAGAAGATAACAGAAGTGCAAAAGGGGCAGATAATGTGGGCAAGAGGGAAGAATTAATCAAAGCAGGCAAGTTCCACACACAGAGAATGGAAAACTTTAAGAGCATTGTTCTAAACTTCAAGTTAGCAAGATGAATCTTCCAGCAAGTTAAATTGGCCCCTTGACAACATTAATATGCAGAGTTGGACCTACACAGCAAATAAGCCAAGGTCTCATTGACTTTGCAGCAGCATTTCCTGGCAATCTCCATATAAGGATGAGCTGTTTTGTTTTTAAACAATTCTGCCATGTTCTAGGTACAAACAACAGACTTTCCTTCAGCTTTGGAGATGCATGTAGTCTTGTTCTAATTTTCTTTTAAACAAATATATCCATTGTAATCAATACCATAAAGTTCAACTCCACAATTTTTGAATACATCCCCACAAAGTCTTCCTCCTCAGAACCCCAGCCTATGTCAGCAAAACTTATGTCACTCAGGGGTGTGAATATTCCACCTCCTGAGTGACATAAGTTACACCGACATAAGCACTTGTGTGCACAGCGCTATGTCAGCGGGAGAGCTTCTCCGAGCGACATAGCTTCTGTCGCTCGCAGAGGTAATTTTTTTATGCTGACAGGCGAGCTCTCTCCCATTGGCATAGAGAGTCTTCACCAGACGCGCTGCAGTGGAACATTGCAGCAGCCACTGCAGCACTATACATACAGACATGGCCTTAGTTATGCTTAAAATT